CAGGAAATGTCCCCTGAAGGGACAGAAACGGGTCCTGGATTGTCACCAAGGGGAGTGACAAGACCCTAAAGGGATTTTGGGGACAGTCCAAAGGGATTTGGGGGATTTTTATGGAGATTTTTTTTTTCGTTTTTTTGCTTTTTCATGAATTCCCACCAGATTTTTGTGGGGATTTTTTTGGGATTTGGGGATTTTTGGGGTCTCCACCCCCCAGCCCACCCCAGTGTCCACTCCCAGCTGTGCAGGAGTGACCACAGCCAGGACAGCACTGGTGTTTGACCATCAGAACTTTGGGATTTATGGGATTTTTATGGGATTTTTATGGGATTTTTATGGGATTTTTATGGGATTTTTTGCTTTTTCATGAATTCCCACCAGATTTTTATGGGGATTTTTTTGGGATTTGGGGATTTTTGGGGTCTCCACCCCCCCAGCCCACCCCGGTGTCCACTCACAGCGGTGCAGAAGTGGCCACAGCCAGGACAGCACTGGTGCTTGACCATCCGGGCTCGGTGGCTCTCGCACAGAACCATCAGGGGCACGCGGCTCGAGGGACGCATGGTCTCACGCTTGAGGATGCTGCTGCCACAGCCACTCAGCTGGGGACACACGGGGACAGTTTGGGGACATTTAGAGACAGTTCAGGGACATTTAGGGACAGTTTGGGGACATTTAGGGACAGTTAGGGGACATTTAGGGACATTTGGGGACAGTTCAGGCACATTTGGGGACACTTTGGGGACATTTGGGGACAGTTCAGGCACATTTGGGGACAGTTTGGGGACATTTGGGGACATTTGGGGACAGTTTAGGGACATTTGGGGACATTTGGGGACAGTTCAGGCACATTTGGGGACAGTTTAGGGACATTTGGGGACAGTTTAGGGACATTTGGGGACAGTTTGGGGACATTTGGGGACATTTAGGGACAGTTTAGGGACATTCAAGGACAGTTCGGGGACATTTGAGGACATTCAGAAACAGTTCGGGGACATTTGGGGACATTTAGGGACAGTTCAGGGACATTTGGGGACACTTTGGGGACATTCAGAAACAGTTCGGGGACATTTAGGGACAGTTTGGGGACATTTAGGGACATTCAAGGACAGTTCGGGACAGTTTAGGGACATTTGGGGACACTTTGAGGACATTTGGGGACACTTTGAGGACATTTGGGGACACTTTGGGGACATTCGGGGACACTTTGGGGACATTCAGGACCATGGTCTCACGCTTGAGGATGCTGCTGCCACCACAGCCACTCAGCTGGGGACAGGTGTGCACAGGTGTGTCCCCCAGGTATGTCCCCAGATGTGTCCCAGGTATGCCCAGGTGTATCCCAGGTATGCCCAGGTGTATCCCAGGTGTGCCCAGGTGTTGCCCAGGTGTGCTCAGGTGTGCTCAGGTGTATCCCAGGTGTATCCCAGGTGTGTCCCCATGCCCCCAGCTGTGCTCAGGTGTATCTCAGGTGTACCCAGGTGTATCTCAGGTGTATCTCAGGTGTCCCCAGGTGTGCTCACCTGTCCATCCACGCTCTCAGTGGCCATGCACAGCCCGTGGTCACTGGTCTATACTCAGTGTCCCCATGTCCCAAGTGTACCCAGGTGTCCCCAGGTGTATCTCAGGTGTCCCCAGGTGTACCTCACCTGTCCCCAGGTGTGCTCACCTGTCCATCCACGCTCTCAGTGGCCATGCACAGCCCGCGGTCGCTGCCCCTCTCCACCTTTGGTGCCTCCATGCGACACGAGCACAGCGGCAGCTCCTCAAAACGCTCGGCCTCTGCTGGGCCTGGGCACAGGTGAGACAGGTGAGGACAGGTGAGACAGGTGAGACACGTGAGGACAGGTGGGACACGTGAGGACAGGTGAGGGACAGACAGGTGGGACAGGTGAGACAGGTGAGGGACAGACAGGTGAGACAGGTGGGACAGGTGAGGAACAGGTGGGACAGGTGAGGGACAGACAGGTGGGACAGGTGAGACAGGTGAGACAGGTGGGACAGGTGAGGGACAGACAGGTGAGACAAGCGAGACACACAGGTGAGACAGGTGAGACAGGTGAGACAAGACAGGTGGAACAGACAAGTGAGGACAGACAGGTGAGACAGATGAGGGACACACAGGTGAGGGACAGGTGAGACAAGTGTGCTCAGAACAGGGTCAGGTGGACTCAGGGTGTGGCCAGAGCAGTGTCAGGTGTAGTAAGGGTGTGACAGATTCAGGGACATGTCCAGGTGTGCTGGGTGTATCCAGGTGTGTCCCAGGTGTGTCCCAGGTATATCCAGGTGTGCCCAGGTGTGTCCCAGGTGTATCCCAGGTGTGTCCCAGGTGTATCCCAGGTGTGCTGGGTGTATCCAGGTGTGCCCAGATGTGCCCAGGTGTATCCAGGTGTGCCCAGGTGTGTCCCAGGTGTATCCCAGGTGTGCCCAGGTGTATCCAGGTGTATCCCAGGTGTATCCAGGTGTATCCCAGGTGTGCTGGGTGTATCCAGGTGTGTCCCAGGTGTACCCAGATGTGTCCCAGGTGTGTCCTCACCTGGGGGCTGGGGGCTCAGGGCCCCTCCCCCCGGCAGCTGCAGGCAGCCCAGGGGCACCTCCGTGTATTCACTGGGGGGGGGTCCTGGGGGTCCTGGGGGGGGACAGGGAGGGGTCAGGGACCCCAAATTCCCAAATCCCAAATTCCCAAATCCCAAATCCCAAATCCCCCAGATCCAAGACCCAAAATTTTTTCCCAATTCCTCCCCAATTTTGGGGCTCCCGCTCCTCGATTTGGGGTCCCAGCCCCCATTTTTGGGTTCCTGTCCCCGTTTTTGGGGTTCCTGGCCCCGTTTTTGGGTTCCTGTCCCCGTTTTTGGGGTGCTGTCCCCGTTTTTGGGGTGCTGTCCCCGTTTTTGGGGTTCCTGTCCCCGTTTTTGGGGTGCTGTCCCC